CTATTTTTAATTTGGAATTTAATTTTACACCCACACCCATAATATGTTCTGTTCTGACTAAAGCACTGTTTGCGGAAACAGCATGGTATACCCACAGTGGGACAAGCTGGGGAATTTAACGATGGAAGCCTGGATCTTGGACATAGAGCACTTAATTTCTCACCTGGATTTTGGTTCCATCATGTATAATGCAGGGTACTAAATTCATTCAGAGCTGGCACATCAAATCATATATGTTGATTGTGACTGCCTGAAACACTGTGTTCATAAGGGCGCTGATGCCAGCTTCTAAAGAAGTAAAGGATGCTCTAAATGATTCATGGTGTCTGCCATGAGCTCAGATGAAAGAAGCAGTATTCATGCACTGTAAATTTGCCATCTCTGAGCTAAAGGAAGCCTTAGGTCATGTTCAGCTCCAACATTCTCTGATTCAATCTGATATGAGAAATAAGATAAATTACATTCTCCTACTCCTACCTAATAAACTGTGGTGGGAGGCTAGTACGACTCTGACTTATGCATAAATGACTAGGTTCACTGAAGTTCTAAAATTCAAGTCCATGGAGAGGGTAACTCTAGACAGATCAGAGGGAGAAGCTCTAAGGCCTATGAGAAGAAGTAATAGTTGAGTTGGGTTTTGAAGGATGCATAGGATCCCGACAGGCAGAGACAGAGGAAAGGCAGTTCAGGCAGAAGAAGTCACATTTCTAGAGGCTGAGGAAACTGAGGTCTGTCTGGTGATGTTGACTGCCTGGACTGGTAGAAGCACATGCAGACTTCGGGCTTGCTGCGGGCTGTGATGTGTTCAGTTGTGTCCAACTTTTCTCGACCCCAAGGACTGTAGCTTGCCAGGCTCCTAGATCCATGGGATTTCCCAGGCAAGAATATTGGCGTGGTTTTCTGTTCCTTTCTCTGGGGGATCTTCCCAACCCAGGGATGGAACCCAGGTCTCCTGCACTGCAGGCAGACTCTTTACCATCTGAGCCGCCAGGGAAGCCCAACAGGGACAAATAGACACAGAGGCATGAAGAGACTTAAAGCAAAACAAAACAAAACAAAACAAAACAAAACAGGTAGGTGGGGCTCAGATTGCCATGTGCCCTAAAATGCCTACTTCTGCAAGCTGCTGGCTTTCTGTTGTCACTATAGCAAAGGAGCCTCATGGTGTCTACAGTGATGGTAACCGCAGCAGCATAAGAATGAGAGAGTTGTTCTTGCAGGGAACCTGTCCCCTTCTGCCCCGCTGGCAGGACCAGCTGGTGGCATTCTGAACCCTCTCTGCTTTCGCTTCCCTGCCCAGGGCTCCTTTCCTGGGACGGGTCCTAATGAAATGCTTCCCATTTTAATTTCTGCTCTGCTGGGAGGAGCTCTTTTATCTTGGTTGCTTCAGTGCCATCAAAGCCCACTCAGTGCTGAGGAGCTGCCCGCCCTCTCTCCGGCCCGTCCTCCACCGCATTCCGCCTGGAGGTTTTAATTCAGAGTCTCAGAAGACAAGCGAGGGGGCTGCATTTGATTGATCAGTCAAACACAATCTCTTCTCAATTGTCTTCGGAGACTCCTGACTCCAGACATGAAAGATAAAAACAAGAGATGCCAGCTTGGTTTAAGATGGAAGTGCATGCTAGATCTTTCTGTTCTTCCTTCAACTCAGAAAAAATAAAATAAAATAAAATCTTTCTCTCTCGGCTCCATCAGCATGTTGTTTTCTCGCCTACCATCTTATCTCATTTCCCGAGTGAATTTTTACTTATTTCAGAAGTAATAAAAACTGTGTAACATGTATTGAGGCTCCTCTGATCACTTTGTGGTTCTTTGTGGAAATAAACCCACTTAATCTTAATGACTCTCATATGACGTGGTACCATTAAGAGTCCCATTTTACAGATGAGGAAACTGAATGATGGGGTGCTAAGTCATCTGTCCCACACAGCTGTGAAGTAGTAGAGCTTGGATTTAAAAGAAGTCTGTCCCAGAGTCCCTGCATTTTGCCCCTGCTATTCCGTGTCACTAACAGCCCATTTGGGGGGGTGATATTCAATGTTGTTATGGTTCAGTTGCTAAGTCGGGTCGGACTCTTTGTGACCCCATGGATTGCAGCACGCCAGGCTTCCCTGTCCTTTATCATCTCCCGGAGTTTGCTCAAACTCACATCCATTGAGTCGGTGATGCCATCCAACCATCTCATTGTCTGTTGCCTCCTTCTCCTCCTGCCCTCAATCTTTCCCATCATCAGGGACTTTTCCAATGAGTCAGGTCTCTGAGTCAGGTGGCCAATGTACTGTATGTTGATTTACAATGAGGAAATTACATTTTCATCATGGAAGTATTAATATTTTCTACTAGAAGGGCCAATTGTATCCTGAATGTGTGGCCAAGGGGTAGAGGATGACTTGTTGATGAGATAAAACTGAAAAATGTGGTTTCAAGAATTGAAAGCAACTTTGGGGATGTCTCCAAGGTTTCCTTGATCTAATATTTCAGACCAAAAAGTGGACACATTGCAGGGAGAATTTTGGAAAGCAGCTATCCTCAGCACTATACCACCAATGCATGCCGGCAGAATTTTGGAAGGGAGTGTTGGTTTCTATTTATCTAAAAAGGTTTCCCCTCAACGTTGCTAAGGGACTTTCCTAGTGGTTCAGAGGTGATGACTCTGAGCTTCCACTTCAGGGATCACAGGTTCTTGATTCCTTGTTGGGGAACTAAGATCTGCACGTGTGGCCAAAAATAAAAAATCAAGGAGGCTTCCATCCTATAGATTCAACCTCTTCATGTTTCCTCAGGCCCAAATCTTGGCTAGAGTTAGGAAAAGTGAATTGAATTAGCATAGCCCCCATTTCTGCATGGCAGTGTTTTCCAGGATGTGATCTTAACTCTTTACTCTGCTCCTTTCTCCCGTGCCCCCAAGGGTAGAAAATCTTGAGTGTTTTCCTTTCCCATAGACACTAATTACAAGTGTAGATTGTTTATTCCCCCCTTTAAAATTCAGTACAAGTCTCTAGAAATAATTGGCCTCTATAACTTTTTCCTAAGGTTTCAAGTATATATGTCTATTTCTTCCAGTCTCTGTCAATCATAAAATAATCAGATCTCTAGTACATCATCTTTGATATTATTGGACTGCTAATGTCTGTGAGTGAGAAGATCACAGCATGAATGCCTAGCCTGTGAGATAATCGCAATGAACTTTCCTGTTGTTTATGCCCTTGTATAAGCTCCTCCCACATTGGATCAGGTCTGGTTTGTGTGACGAATGAAATGTAAGGTAGGTAGGCTTCTAAAGCTAAGTCATAAAAGGCATCGTGCCTTCTCCTTTGTTTCCTGGGTCCTTGGTTCTGGGTGAAGCCATCCTCCAGCCATATGAAGATGCCATCTTAAATGTGATTTCTTCAGCCCCAGCCAGATGACTGGCACTTTGAAAACTCAAAAGAATCCCTAAGTGGGAATCACCCACCTAAGCCACTCTCAAAATTCCAACTCACAGAAAACGTGAGAGATGATCGTTTGTCATTTTTGAGTCACTGTGTTTTGGGGGATATATTGTTATTCAACGTCAGTGATTGGTACAGCATGTTCTGAATTTGAAGGAACAGTTTCAGTTCCTGATGCTGAGAAAATGTCTTTAAAAGTGCCATTCATTTTCTTACTATACACTACTGTGCTCCATGCTTTTTTGGCATTCTTGTTAATCTTCACTGTGATCCTAGGAAGTTAGCTTGTATTAAACCACTTTGCCAATGAGAAGATTGAGTCTCAGAGAGACTTTGTTGCTAAAGTTACAAGGAGGAAGTGAGAGGAGTCAGGCTTGAGACCCAGCTCTGCCTGGGTCGATGGCCTATCCTCTTAACTTCTATGCCTGATCACTTTCCTGCTAAAACAGTTCATGGTTATTTGCCAAGCTCTGAAATAAATCACTGGCATTTATTATCCAACCTGACCCTTGCTACTCTGAAAGTCATTGCATAGACAAGGATACTATGGCATTGGAAATAAGAGGCAAGTTTCAATTATTCCTATTCATTGATGGGGAAATATGATCATACAGTGAAACTTGCAACATACTTGAGATGACTAAGATGCATCACCTTTTTCTAAGTTGTTCACAATGATTGGAAACATGCTAGGTGCATGTAAAGTCTTTAGGGATTATGGGAGGAAGAAAAGATGAAAGAAAGGAAGGAAGGAAGAAAGGAAGGGAGGAGGGAAGGAGAAAAACTTAGGGAGAATGGCCCTTAAGACCCTCCTAGGACATTAGGTTGAGCACCGACAAATTGATGCTTTCAGATTGCAGTGCTGAAGAAGACTCTTAAGAGTCCCTTAGACAGAAAGGAAATCAAACCAGTCAATCCTAAAGGAAATCAACCCTGAATATTCTTTGGAAGGACTGATGCTGAAGCTGCAGCTGCAATACTTTGGCCACCAGATACGAAGAGCTGATTCATTAGCAAAAGACCCTGATGCTGGGAAAGATTGAAGGCAAAAGGAGAAGAGGGTGACGGGATGAGATGGTTGGATGACATCACTGGCTCAGTGGACGTGAGTTTGCGCAAACTCTGTGAGTTGGTGATGGACAGCGGGGCCTGGCATGCTGCAGTTCATTGGGTTGCAGAGTTGGACACGATTTAGCAACTAAACTACAAAGATTCCCCTAAGTCAGCACCTGGAGAAGGGACAATGAAGCTATCTCTTTGCTCCAAGGTAGGGTGGAGGTGAAAATCAAAGGTTTCGAAAAGGATCCAAACACGTAAACCTGTGATTTGAACCTGGAGAAGCATTTGAAGGGAAGAATCGATCCCTACAACAGGCGACACATTTGTCTCACCCAGAGAAGACAGATCCTCTTCTGCTCAGCCCATTGCAAGGGACAGAAACTTGGGCCCACTGTTGCAGCTAGCCTTTTCTTTCATTCTCTTTTATTAAGAAACTAACAATCTGGATTTTTATAAATTATTATTTATTTACTTTTTTACTTTCTGATTGTACCTCGTGGCCTGTGGGATTTTAGTTCCCCAACCAGGGCTCGAATCAGTGCCCCTTGGAGTGGGTGCACCGAGTCTCAAGCTCTGGATCACCAGAAATGTCCTTGACAGTCAGGATTTTTATGTGCAACCTCCTGATTTTACAAAGTTGACAGCTAAGTCCTTTTATTTTATTTTTTAAATATGACCTAGGATGAGCCAAACTTGTTTGTGAGCCTGCTGTGCCCCACAGGCTGCAGAGGTTCAAGGTCTCTGCTGCAGAAAAACCAAAGGGCAAGAGGTGGCCAGACTGCAAAGGATCAACTGCTGAGACAGAGAAGAACAAAGTGAGGGAGGAATCAAGAAGACGGTTGCTGGATTTCTCTCCTACTTTACAGCTTACAACCCAAAGGCTTGCTGGTATCGGCTCTTGAAGATGAACTGGGGACATCTTCACAAGCATGTGGACCAAGAATAGTCAGTGATCCATCCTGGCAACTGTGGACTTTGTAGATTCCGCTGTTGGAGGGAAAAAAAAGGTTGTCAAAACAGAAAGAAATTGCAGACCAGTCCCCCTGGCAGGACGTGAGCTCTGTTCTTTGTTAAAGCAGGCATTTGATGGCTGACAGTTTATTCTTTTTCTTCCTCTTCTTTTCCCTTTAGACTCTGGGGCATAAGGGACTGAGCACAAACTGGCAGTGAACGATATCCCTCCCCACTTTGGATGATTATATTCGTTAATAATGATTATCGCTTCTATGTGATATTTGCATGATAAACTATGGACATCTGGTGGCGTGTGCCTGTGCGTGTGGGGTTTGTTAGGAAACAGAAGCGAGCTAAACGCTGATGAAATGTGAAATCTAACCGCTTGGACTAAAAATAAAGTCGGCAGGCTTTAGGGTTTCTGCACGCCAGCAATTCTGAATGGCTCACATACGCTGCCTTAGTTAGTTACCGTGGAGACACGTGGCCGGGCCGATGTGGAGCGGAGTTCACACTTTGTGGGCCTGGCCCCTGGGGGTCCCATTACAGAATTTCGTCTGTTTAGAAATATTTTGTAATAAGGCCCCTGGTGTCACTGATTAGTAATAAAATGTGCAACTGCCTTCATCAGCATCTCCCTCAAATTTGTCTTTTATGGAAATGAACCAGCACGCTTTCAGGTAAAAGATGGTGTGTGTGTGTGTGTATGTGTATACACACACACATCCATAGATAGATTTAATTTCAATATGTATTTAAATATGTGCAGAGAATTTTATCTTCCGCAAGCTGTTCGGTTGCAGTTGGTTTTTTTTTCTCCCCAGAAAATTTTGTACTTTTTTTTTTAACCTGCAGAGTCGACTGAAATTTCTAAATGACGTACAAAGCAACGTGAATTTCTTGAGGCCAAACCCAGTGTGAATTTCTGAAAGTAAAGATACAGTGAAGGGTGCATGAAGCGTGGGAGCTTGCAGTGTGTTTTCTTGTAACGTGCGATTTTAGACAATGGGTGATTCTGAGCATGGCTAGAATCATGAATTCTGGTGTCCTGGGAGGGAAAACCTTTATCTGGTAGAAAATATCATGTTGTTTCAGTGCTATTTGGGTACCACTCACATAAAGGGTCTAAGAGTGAAGAGACGACTATGATTTTTACTGTTGTTTTGTTTTCACCTATTCTGAGTTGCCAGGAGAGAATGCCCTCCCTGCCCTCCCCCATATGTGCCGGCTTGTGGCTTGCTTTCTTTCCAAAGTGTTCATCTAAATGTCTCCGGTAGCAGAGAATGGAATGCTCTTTTCGGCTAATGGTTTTCAGCCTGTTTCAGGAAGACCTGCCGTTTAACACTCCCTGGCGGACTCAACAGTGTGTTAGAAGGCTGTGCATCACAGAAGCGCCGGAGAGCCTGGCGTTTTCTCTACAAAGCCGAGCTGCTCTCTGCAGCCGCCCGGGGCCACACTGACTGGTCTGAGTTTCGAGCTGTTCTTTTTTTCTTTTTTAAAATTTATTTATTTATTTTAATTGGAGGAGAATCACTTTACAATATTGTGATGGTTTTGCCATACATCAACATGAACTGGCCGAAGGCATACACGTGTCCCCTCCAGAATGAAACCCCCTCCCGCCACACCTTCCCTCCAGACTGTCACAGAGCCCCTTTGGGTGTCCTGCATCCTACATCAAACTCCATTGGTTATTTTACATGTGGCAATGTATATGTTTCAATGCTATTCTCTCAAATCACCCCACCCTCTCCCTCTTCCACTGAGTCCAAAAGTCTGTTCTTTACATGGTGTATGCTTTGAGCTCTTCCTGTAAATTAGAACCGTGGTGATGCAGAGTGATCTTTGGTTCCACAGTTCATCAGACCTACCTGGGATGCACTTCTCCGAATGGCTCTGAACCTCTTCCTCATCTGAAAAGCTGAAGGACTAATACCTACTTCATCAGGACTTTGGAAAGATTAAAAAGGATAGATCTCCGTATAAAGTCTCCAAAACGTTGCCTGGAGCAAAATAAAAATGTAGAAGGATCAAAGTGATTAAAAGTTAAATAAAGCGCTTTCTGTTATCATACACTGGGTGGTGAGCAATTGATAAGCATTTTCTTGTTTTTGGCTCACTGTGGTTCTTTAAGTAACATAATTCTTCCCATTTTACAGGAAAGATAAAAATAGTTTCAGGGACTTCCCTGGTGGTCCGGGGCTTAAGAATCCACCTTCCAAGACACGAGATGCCCACATGCCATGGGGCAACTAAGACCACACGTCACAGCCAAGACCCGACACAGCCAAATAAATAAGTAAAAAATTAAAAACTAGACACTCAGAGAAGTGCATGGCTATAGATTTACAAGGCCAGTTAAATCAGGATTCAGATCTAGAGCTGACTAACTTAAAGACTCCACTTGTAAGTAAAATGCCAAGCCCTGTTGTTGTTAATAAGTGATGATGCTCTTTGGAAATTTTGCCCATGAGTGTTAGAGGGGATGGAGGATGGAACTGCAGCCTTAACTCCTGGGATGGATGGAATGTTTGCCAAAGATGGCAACTGTATGGAGGGAATGTTTACAGGAGAAAAGATCCCATTCAGAATCCAAACAGCAAAGAAACAAAGCAGATTGTGAGTTTTGGCAATTTCATGTTGGAATTCAGAACCAAGCTCATAAAATGGTCAAGGGTATTTGTGTGGGTAGCTCTTAGCTCAGGGTATCCATGGTGTGACTGAGGACATTCCTCTGGGGGATTCAGGAACTGAATCCTCTCCCTAGCCTTGGCAGCAAGGTTAAGAAGAGCCGTCTATGTGCTAGCAATGATGGGGACTGACAGATCGAAGGCAGTGTTGCTCTTCTGCTCAAAAGAAACATCATTTACATCACAGATGAAGTGTAAGAAAATCTAGTCAATGTAGCAAGGGCCTGGTTCTCCAAACATAGCTTCAGTGAGCTTCAGAGGATAATTTTAAAGAAAATATAATATTGAAACCAGGTTCTTGCTCTTGGAGGCTCACATTCTGGGGTAGTGTGCTGAACAGCGCTTTCTCTGATGATGGTAGTGTTTCATATCTGCATTGTCCTCTATAGCTCTGGAGCTCTTGACACAGGGCTTGGGTAATTGATGACCTGAATGTTTCATTTTTATTTAATTACCTGAATGTTAAGTCTAGTGAGACATGTATGACCAGTGGCTACCATTTTTGGCAGCATGGATCTGGATAATGAGGTGGTGGTGGTAGGGAAACCAGTGAGGATGATGAAGGCCCTAGCCTTGGAGTTTATAGGAGGTGCTGGCATCTGTGTGACCTTGGGAAGGTTAAATAACTTCTCTGAGCCCAAAGTAGGCATGGGTGAAATGAGACTAGTTATGATAAAAGAGTGATGGATTCCCATGTGGTTGGGATATTCTATATAAAGGTCTTTACAAAGTCTAAAAGAGTTTTAATAAAATACCAGCCATTATTATTTATTGTCAATTATATTGTCATTGTCATCATTATTTTGTAATCAAAGAATGCAGACGTTGCTGTGAGGTCACTGAGTTCAGAATGATTCCCTGAGCAGTGATTGGGACAGAGAAGATGATCACAGACTGTAACTCACAGAGGTAGCGGCATTTTAGCTTCATTGTGTACCATGGATAGCTGTGTAATTGTTCAACAAGAACTGGAGAGCTGTATAATTGTTCAACAAGAAAAGGTTGAATGATCCAGATGCAGAGTGTGCTTGGCCAAGGCACTGGCTTTTTAAAATATTTATTTTTAATATTTATTTACTTGGCTGCGTTGGGTCTTAATTGTGGCATTCAGGATCTTCGTTGCCATGTATGGGCTTCTCTAGTTGTGACATGAGGGCTCAGTGGTTGTGGCACGTGGTCTTCGTTGCCCCGAGGCATGCAGGATCTTAGGTCCTTGACCAGGGAGCGAACTCACATCCCCTGCATGGAAGGCGGATTCTTAACCACTGGACCACCAGGGAAGTCCCAAAACATTGGCTTCTCAACTAGTCTGGCTTGTTTGTGAAATTGGGAAAACACATGCCCCCCGAAACACCCAAGTTGTTTGTTTTTAGTTTAGTTTTTTTTTTTTTACAGAAACATTTGAAATAAGCATTTTATGTTACCCTCTGATTCCTTAAGCAGAGTTCACCCAATACAATATGACTTCTCTGAAATGTTCAGTTGCTAAGTCATGTCCAGCTTTTGCCACCCTGTGGACTGCAGTACACCAGGCTCCCCTGTCCTTCACCATCTTGAGGAGAAATATCTTGCTCACTCTTTGTGGAAGTATATTTATATTTCTAGATCCTCCTGCAGTAGAGAAACATTATGTTTACCTTTTTCTGATTACTTTGTTAGAAGTCTGTTACTAACAGACTAAAAGCTAAATGCAATGTGTGACCATGGCTTGTACCCTGCTTGAAAAGTGCTGTAAGGTACATTATTAGGAAAATTTTCTAAATTTAACTATGGACTGAGATAATGATATTGTATCAACACTTAGAGTCCTCGAGTTTCATAATTCTATTACTGTTTCCCTGGTGGCTCAATCGGTAAAGAATCTGCCTGCAATGCAGGAGACCTGGGTTTGATCCCTCGGTCGGGAAGAGCCCCTGAAGAAGGAAATGACCACCCACTCCACTGTTCTTACCTGGGAAATCACATGGACAGAGGAGGCTGGTGGGCTACAGTCTATGGGGTCACCAGAGTCAGAAATGACTTAACAACTAAACCAGCACCACCACCATCACCTTTCCTGTTCCACAGCAGAGAGTTCCTTCTTAGAAGATACAGGCTGAAAATTGTTACTGAAGGGCCACAGCAGCTATGATTTGCTCTCAAATGATGCAGGAAAACAATGTGTATATGTATATATAGACACATACATGCATGCATGTATATGTGTGTGCATCCATGCACACATATATGCATTGAGAAAGTAAGAGTGGTAAAAAGACAGTATGGCAGTGTTAAAATATTAATCATAAATGTAAGCAAAAGGTATCTAGATAATCATTACTTTCTTGCAACAAAGAACAGGATGTTTCTAAAATAAAATTGAGGTCCCATCCCCAGAATAAGAGGAAGAGGATGCTGAAAGGCGAATAATAATTGTCTAAGTTACACTTAACTTCCTCTCATTGCAGAACAAAAGTCCTGAAGCATTAATGTGAGCATCTGCTTAAACTAGCATTAAAGTTTGAGCAGCACTTTGTGAACTCAAAGCAACCTTCACATGTGAGGCTCTATAAAGCCATTCCAACTTCTTTCTCCTGTTTAGATGAAAGACAGTGAATGCACTGGCTGATCTTAACACACATCAATTAATTTAAATTGACTTAAGTGTTGTTCTCACAGAAACTGGTACTATTTGGATTGTTTTAAAAGACATCAATTTGTCATTAAAAAAGTTTGGTAGCTTTATTTTTTTTTTCCCTCCAATTCCTTTAACGTCTATTTTGTTGGATGCTTAGCAACAAGAGGCTGGCCTGGGTAAGAGCTTCTTTGCCAAGATAAAAATAATCTAAAATTTAGATGTGTCTGCAGTGATCATGGCTGTGTAAATTAATTAGCCACGCTGAGCCTGAATCAGCGTCTCTAAATTGATCTGGCTTTTATGCCGCTCTATTTTCTAAAATGTGTTCACCCTCAAAAGTAGCCACTCTTGTTATTACTTCCTTTTCCAGAAATTCACCGTTGGAAAGAAATTCTTCCTTTTTTTTAATCCCCTAATAAATACTGGAATTTGAATTTTGTGTCAGGAGCCAAAATGAAAGCCAGCTGCCAATGAGAAGAACATGAAAACAAATAAGAGATTATCTGTATACTTAAGGATGTTAATGTTCTTTTGTGGTGTTCCCTGGTAGTGCAGATGATAAACAGTACGCCTGCAATGCAGGAGACCCAGGTTTGATCCCTGAGTCAGGGAGATCCCCTGGAGAAGGGAATGGCAACCCACTCCAGTACTCTTGCCTGGGGAATCCCATGGACGGAGGAGCCTGACAGGCTACAGTCCATGGGGTTGCAAAGAGTCAGACAAGGCTAAGAGACTAACATTTTCACTTTACTTTTCAAAATATATATTAGGAGTTAAACTATATAATTTAAGCAAGCAGTGCCATGAGGCAAGATGGTTTTCATTGCCAAGAAACAATGACTACAGAGCTCTGTGGAAGTAACTATTCTTGGGTAAAAGAGAAGAATTTTGGAAAGAAAGGAGTTGATATAACAGTTTGGTATATGTCCTGCAGTCCCAAGTTCCATTCAAAAATTTAACATGTCTTTTTTAACAGCTGCGTTGAGGTATTACTTATCTAATTAAAAATTTACTCGTTTTAAGTGTCCAGTGGTTTTTTTTTTAATGAATTTACAGAGCTGTTAAACCATCACCACAGCTCATTTTTAATCGAAGTATAGATGATTTACAATATTTCAGGTGTATAGCAAAGTGATTCAGTTATATATCTATATCTGTATATATATAGATGTATATAGATAGATATAATTTTTCAGATTCCTTTCTACTATGTTATTATATGATATTAAACATAGTGCTATACTTGCTGTATAGTCCTTGTTGTTTATATATTTATATATAGTAGGAAGTGTCTGTCTCACCCCCTGTTCTCCCCTTTGGTAACCATAAGTTCGTTTTCCAGGTTGGTAAATCTATGTCTGTTTTGTAAATACGTTCATTTGTATCAATTTTTTATATTCTATGTATAATTGATATCACATAATATTTGTCTTTCTCTGTCTGACTTACTTTACTTAGTATAATGATTTATAGCTTCATCCATGTTGTTGCAAATCCCATTACTTCATTTTTTATGGCTGAGTAATATTCCATCATGTATGTATACCACATCTTCTTCCTTCCTCTGTCGATGGGACATTTAGGTTGCTTCCCTGTTACAATTTTACAACATTTCCATCGCCCTAAAATACTGCCTGAAGCTCTTTTTCAGTTAATCATTGTTCCCGCCCCAGTCCCAGGCAACCAGGAACCAATT